ACATTGCTGCTCTAGATACTGCCCAAAATGAGCAAACATGCTCATTTATAGTAAAATATTCACTGTCCTAGAAATTATTGCTTGTTTCCATGTCCAATTTTACAGCTTTTTTAGATTTACTGAGGTGAAGAGAAGACCAAAATGAAGCCCCTGTCCCTCTGGTAAGGTTTCGCATATGGGCAGATCAAACAATGCTTCCTACATGCTCTGTGATCTGCTTTTGGAAATGAGAAGCCTTCTCTTTGTTTCCAGGCTGTCACTGCTGTGTGTTTAGTCAATAGGCCTGAGTGTGGATTTTTAATATTCATTTCCATGCTCAACCCTGAAGCCAGTTAAGCTTTCATACCTTTGATCTCTGCTTCCTAATTCTCCCAAAAGTTGAGGGGAAGCAGGTCATTGAATTCAGGGTTTTCTTTCTTTGCTGTATTTGGTGACTGGGCTTCCTGTTTTCCCATTGTGCCAGATGTGTTCATGCATTCTGTGCTGGGTTTTGTTTCATTCATCATTGTGTAGCAGTGACTGTGAGGTCCTTATGTCCTTGAACTCTGCAGCTTAGCTCTGAGTGTGCCTCCCTGCCAGGGGAGCAGCTAATCTGCAGAACAATCCCACTTCACCCAGCTGGGGAAGTTTGGTGTAAAAACCCATCTTGCATGAACTGAAAAAACAAGTTGTCCCAGCAGACTCATTTTTCCTGCTGGATTTCCAGCACTCTTTTGTTTCAGCTGTCTGCCTCATGGTGAATTTCAGCTTTCAGCCCCGTGTTTAGCAATGCAACATGGCTCATTTAAGCAGACACAAGCATTTTTTGAAAAAATGACCCCATAAATAGATGTGTCAGAATTCATAGCACTGTTGGGTATTTTACAGCTACGAATGCATGTGTCTGAGCATTTGACCCAGTTCAAAACCATTTCATATGAGTATGGATATGCATGAAGTGTCAGGCATGGTTTTGATGACAGTGGGATATCATACACTACTCATCCCATGTACTATAGGAGACTATAGAAAAGCAGCTTTTGAAAAAGGTGTGGCAAGTTAAGTGACCTAACAAACATTTCCATGTACCTCTCTACTGTTTTGTGAGTCTCCAAGTACTGAACAAGATGAGTCTCAGGTCATCAGGTCAGATCATCAACTACCTGTGGGATCTCGGGGTGTCTTCACCAGAAGGAAGGAGAGGCACAGTGATGGGGCTGACCCTGGGAGGACAGGCTTTGCTGTAAAGCACTGCTCAGTGCTTCTCTGACTTCCACCTGTTACTTAATGCAGCAAATTTACCCCAGGCCTAAAAGGCAATATTGAACTGCAGATGTATGAAGTGCAGGTAAGGAATGGGTAGAGGAGTTTGAGACAAGGTAGATCAAAGTTAAACATATTTTAATGCACAGGATAAGCTCTCTGTCTGCACCTTCCATCTGCTTCCCTCCAGCTACTCTCTGCCTGTATCAAGCCATTTAAATTTTTAGACATTCAGGTTATTGAATATTTTCTGCTTTTGCACAAGGGAGAAACTACAAGGAATCGGAGAGCTGACTTTCCTTGACCAGAGTCAGAAAGTATTTCTTCATGTTCATCAATTCAATAAGCAATGTGGTAGTTTTATTTCCTTTGTAAAAGTTAGAAAAAAAAAACCTGTGCAGAGAGATCTTTCCAGGCTGTGAATTAAAACACAATCAAGAAATCAAGAGGTGGAACGGCAAATTTTTGGGGTTTTTTGGGATTTTTAAAATTACAGCACTTGCCAGTCTTCAACAGCTGTTAAAAAATGGATTTTTTTGTACTTAAATATAAATTGAAAATTCATTTTTTTCCTAGCAGAGTTGTAGTCTGAGTCCTAAAGGAGTCAGAATGTTCTTTGGGATAGTTTTCTTTCATTCAGGTGCTAAGCTATAAAAATAATAAAATAACTATGGCTAGGCATGTTTGTCTTGTATCTCTTTAATGTACTTCTTTTGCCAGAAGTTTTTTTTTTGTGCTACATTTTTGTGAAACATTTAATTAGCACATAGTGTATTTCCCTTTTCTAACACCTTCTACCTCAAACCACTTCATAATTCCTCTGTACCTCCACTCTTGGAAATGGGTCCTACATTAGAAGGCACTTCGAGACTTTTATTCTTTTCTTTCTAATTCCTTGGCCTTTTCTAGATTCTGACTTCAGTGCCATTCAGCACAGGACAGAAAAAAAAAGTTTATTAATGGTTTCAGATGATTTAGCATCCTGAGTCCTCCTTCAACAAAGCTTTTGAGGACTTTTTGAAGTTCAGCCTTTTCTTATAGGAACTGTAATGGAATCTGATTATCAAATAATAATTTCAGCTGAACTGCATATAATTTTTGAAAGTCTGTTCTGTAAATCTAATGGAGGACCTAAATCTTTTATGATTTTGATTTCTTCAGTTGCTTTTCTGTGGATGTCTATGTGTGTCAAACATATCTTTTTGGAATTGGCAGTCACCTTTGAAAATCTCTTTCCAGATGATCTAGGACATGAAACTGTCTTGTTATTTAGGTCTCATTTTTCTGTATCACTGGTGAAGTTTTTGAAGTGGAAGATGGTATTGTGCTTTTCACTGTCCTCCAGCTGTGGTAATCTTTTGCTAACTTGTCTAATGCCTCTTTCCAGCCCTTTACCTTAAATGTCCTTCTGTCCCCTGGAAAAGATTGAAAGAGAAGGGCACAGCCAATTGGAGTTTTCTCTCCAAATGTGGTTATGGTTCCTCACCTGTGGAGCAGAGCTCTGCCAACTGGTTTATTTAGACTGCATCTTTTCACATATCACTTTTGCTGGCTATTATCTATGCTGAGCTAATTTCACTTGGGGTTTTCAAAAGAAATCCAAAGGTTTGGTGTCCTGTGCCAGGTGATAGCTGACACATGATGATATTTTGAAAACCCTAGCTTTAAGCCTAGAGGAGAAGGTCTGGGCTGGAAGAGTTTACCTGATCCACAGGCTGCTGAAGAGGCATCCTGAGAATGGCTAGAGGGTGAAATGCAGGAAGAGCAGTTGTCTTGACATTTTCTCTCTGCCCATCTGTAAGAGGGAGAGAGATGTATCAGGCTGTGTGATATAGTAGCAAGATGGTTTCCAGGGCATGTAAGAGAGGTGTCAGAGGACAGGCTACTCAGCATTGCTCTTGTGACCACAGCCACAGTGAGGGGATGACCATACCTGCCTGTCTTGGTGCTGCAGTTCCCCTTCCAGTCCAGGATCCCAATGACACAGTTTCTGCAGAGGCACAGGGGAGCAGTGGGGTGATAATACTGGGGTAGAGCACATTCTTGTATGTCCATATGTCTTCAAATGTCACCTCCACTCTTCCTGTACCTCCTTGAGAGAAGACCACTTTCGGCACAAGTTACTGATATTGAGTAGTGAATGATTTGTCAGAAAACCTTTATTTTCAAAGAAAGCTCTTTGGAGGAGTAATTTTTATTGTTGAAATTTTTAATGCCTCTGGGCAGTTTAGAGGACAGAAGTGATTTGCAAATGTGAGCATTGATGCTGATCTTTGCTTTCTATGAACTGAGCAGTTGCCATATCACCCAGCTAAAATCTGCCACACTATTTTTAGAGCTGACTTTCAGCCCTGCACATTTTCAGCATGCTGTGGAAGTACTAAAGATATGGATTAGAGGTACATGAAGCATTAGTATTTCATGTTTGGATTGTTAACTTCTTTGTGGACTCTAAGCCTAGCAAAACTTACGTGAGGTTTGTAGACTGAATGAACATCGGTAGCCAGGCTGAATTGCTTCAATGTCCTTGAGGTTTGTAGACCGAATGAACATCAGTAGCCAGGCTGAATTGCTTCAATGTCCTCGTGGCCAACATATTCAAATGCTTCCCAAGGTGGGAGTTTTGCAGTTCAAACCTGTTTGTATTTTGCTTATTTGCTTTTGTTTCACAATCTCTTGTAGATTAAAACCCCAAAACTTTCTTAGCCATCACGACTGCTAAGAAGAGGCAGAAGTATGGGCTCTAATCAGAAAATGAATTTAAAGACTTCACAATTTTATAAGAAGAAAATTAAAAACTGCAGAATTTAAATGAAGCTTGTTGTTTTAGGTGGCTATAGTTAATGGATTTTTCATGTCTGTGACTGGCAATACTCTTCTCTTATAGAACCAAGGAATTAGCAGGAGATAACACTGTGTCTCTTCCCACAGAACTATATTATTTTTGCAAAGGCAATTTAATTTTCCAAAGAATAAATTGGAGGAAAGCACTTCTGCCAGCTTCAAACAGCCAAGTTTTCCTGTAACCGTTTGGAAATTATTATCTTTGGCACCTGGAAAACTTAACTCAGTTCCTTTTCTTTTTAAAAGTTATGTTATGAACATCCTGTCTTGCAGGTGATTGGATGATTTTTACAGTTGTGATAGTCAGCATGTGAGGAGTGTTACGTAGGTAGTAGAATGGTTATCAGACCCATTTGACCAAGATCTTAATTCTGGACTTCTGTATTCTGCAATAGCTTAAGAAAAAATGCCTTGTCCTGTTGCTAAGGACAGAGATCTAGCCTGTGACTCTATTTAGCTTCTGTTTGTAGGAGTATTCACTCTGTCCCTTCTGAAGCTCTTTTTTCTGGTACATCATTCACATCTATCTCTTCAGGGTAGAGATCATGGTGGGAACATGGGACTATTGTCATCTGTTGGCAGATCTGCTAGTCACATGAAAACAGGCTTTTGGGACATGGAGAACATAGATAATAGCAAAGGTGATTGTTGCAGACCTGCTAGTTGCTACTTAGTTTAGAATTGGTGCAATAAGGAGACATTTTATTGAGGAAAAATAGAGGACACTAAAATTGCCATGCTGTCAAGACCTGAATTAGAAATAACAGAGCAAAAGCATCTCTTTGTCTCTGTAACTTGGAAATATATAAATGTGGTTACTTTTCCTCTGTTTTATATTCCTGATTACTTCCTTGAATAAAAGGAACATATTTCAGTGATTTTTACATATTTCCCTCCTTTTTCTGTGTTTCTAGGTTCTAATTGACTGGATTAATGATGTGCTGGTAGAGGAGAGAATCATTGTCAAACAACTTGAAGAGGACCTTTATGATGGGCAGGTGCTGCAAAAGCTGCTGGGTGAGTTCATACAAGAGAAGGTAACCCCAAAGACTGGAAGGGGCCCACAGTTAATCTCTTCCAAAGCTGCAGAAGGCAGCAGGTCTGTGCAGTAACTCACCATCTCACCAGGCATACACTTTGTTTCACTGATAGCTACAGCATCAGCTTCTCCATCTATACTTTTTGGGCTGTCTGCTGAAAGGAGAGGAAATCCAGATGATTCCTAGGTATCTATTTCATTGCCTGACTATAGTCCAGACAGCTGAAATATATGGTAGAAAAAAGGTGAAAAGGTTTGTGTTTACAGTGGGAAGCCAAGCACAATCTGTGTGGGCCAAACTTTTGTCAGTATAGTTTGCTTCTGAAAGGCTTTGGGCTGAGAGCTGTTGTGAGAACTACTTTTAGGGGGAAAAAATTAAGAAAAAGAGAGTGCATGGCAGCAGGCATGTACTCAAAATGTGTACTTAGGTGTGGCTAATTCGTGGAGAGATATACTCAGCTAAGCAGTTGTGATTTTGCAGCCCCCTTACATCATTGCAATGTGTGTGTTGATACAAGAAGCACAGTGGAGAAAACCTGATGATGCAGCAGTGATTTATGGGGGTGCTATTAGCAAACAAAGAGACTTGAGGCTTCAAGTGCCATTGTAAATCCACACTATTTCTTGGACACAGATAGCCAGACTGCTCTCAGCTTACTTATGACAGGTTTTCAAGAGCGGGTTGTCTTGTGGGATGTATGTATCAGAGTGGGGCAAGAGGACCTAGTGGTGCTAATTCCACTGGTGTTGGTGGATGCTGCTTACTGAATTTTCTGCATATGCCCCTTAAATAAAAGGTCTGCAGCAATTCGCTGAACCTTCACAAGCTTTTAAAATTAGTTAACAACAATTAACTTTGTGTGCAATTGAAACTCCTCAAAAATAACTTGAGAAATGAAACAAGAGTACTGAGAGGCTGAGGGAGCTGGGAGGCTCAGCCTGGAGAAGAGGAGGCTCAGAGATGACCTTCTCACTCTCTACCACTCCCTGACAGGAGGTTGTAGACAGGTGGGGGTCAGTCTGTTCTCCCAGGTAGCAAGCAATAGGACAAGAGGAGAGGAAGTGGAGTTGTGCCAAAGGAAGTTTAGATTAGATATTACAAAAAATTTCTTCACTGTAAGGTTGTCAGGCATTGGAACAGGCTGCCCATGGCAGTGGTGGAGTCACCATCCTTAGAAGTGTTCAAAAAACATGCAGATGTTGCACTTAAGGACGTGGTTTAGTGATGGTCTTGGCAGTGCTGGGTTAACAGTTGGACTTGATGATCTTAAAGGTTAAGGAAGTTTAGATTAGATATTACAAAAAATTTCTTCACTGTAAGGTTGTCAGGCATTGGAACAGGCTGCCCATGGCAGTGGTGGAGTCACCATCCTTAGAAGTGTTCAAAAAACATGCAGATGTTGCACTTAAGGACGTGGTTTAGTGATGGTCTTGGCAGTGCTGGGTTAACAGTTGGACTTGATGATCTTAAAGGTTTTTTCCAACATAAGTGATTCTATGCTCCTATATGTAGGTCAGTTGGACTTAGCATATCTTACAGGAGGAAAGGTGAACGTGTACATCTTGCAGTCTGCGACTTTCAGCTAGACCAGCTTTTCCCCACTTCCTTCCTTTTGGGCCTCTGACTGGAGAGCAGATACATCTCCCCTGACCTGAAGCTACCACAATTTAGCCCCAGTCTTGTGTTGGTCTTCAGTGGTGCCTTGGTTTCTTCAGCAAGACTTCTGTGACTGAATCTATCATCTTCGTGCTGTCTCATTGATGCAAGAGACAGAGCACCTCAAGCTTCTGTTGGTCTTCTCTTGCTGGAAGCCTCAGAATTAAGACAGCTCTGTATTGTGCAAGTCTTCTTTTCTGATGCCTGCAGGAAAGGCAAACAAAGTATGGTCATTAAATCTCAAGCAGTACTTACCATTCCTTGTGTGTGAGAGGTGTTTTGTCTTGACAGGCAGGCACAAAAAAGAGATGAAAGACAACAGCTTGTCCGTGGGCCTATTTTGAAGCAGATTTAAATAAGAGATCAACAAATAACTGTCTGACTGATTGAGGTGGAGCTCCTTGTTTAGTTAATTTTATCAAGGTACAAGTAGTGCCACTCAAGTGCCACCAAGCTGAAGTGTCTTGGTATACATGGTGTCAGGTGAATGGAAATAAATTTCTGTTTGCTGAGTGGCCAAAAATTAATCTTTTAGCATAGTGTTTTTAAAAAACATCTAAAATAATTTAAAATTATATGTGCCTGTTTTGGTAGTCAGTTTAGAAAAGATTCATCTTGGCTAAAGAATGGTTTTCTCGTTAATGTTATCCAGATGTTGAAAAAACTTTCCTAGATTAGACTGATAGAAACAGTCAAAATGTTCAAAGTGTTTGTGAGTTGATAACCTGCAAGTCTCTTCTGTTTGGGTTATTAGAATACTTTTGTATTTCTGCCATTTAAAAAGAAATAAATATCTATCTTCAGCTAGGTGAAATGTCCAGAAGAAACATACTTTTGAACATGAGAGCAGAAATATTTCCATTGTTGGAATAATAGGCTTTGACAGCTCTGAAACATTTCTGAAAGAGTATCTAGAGTTGAAGCTCATCCCATTATGTGAAGACAGTTTAGGTGAAGTATGTTTTTTCTTTGAAGAGTGGAATAATACAGGATTAGAATATATCCAGCCAGTCCTGACCTCCTAGGCAGATCTGCAGAGTGAGTTTGCCCACATTTTTCCTGAGTGTGGAGAGATAACTCATTGCTTTGATGGCTGGAGGACTCTAACCCACCTTCCTCAGCTCTCTTCCTTTGTTTTTTTTAGTGCATTTCAGCTCCTGTGTCTTTGGCAAGGGCCACAGTGCAGAGAGAGAGAAGAATAACTTGTATATGACTTTGGCAACAAATAATTATATTACAGAAACAGAATTGAAATTCTAGTAATGTCACTTTACAAGTTTTCCTGCATTAGTTCATTTTTTGGAAGTAATTAACCATGATGTGACAATGTCATAACAACATGACAAGATTGTACCAACTTACTTCTTTAAATTAGTCCCACTAAAGCAGCACAAATCTGAGAGTCATATGGGTCTTTGACTTTTGAGAGTCTGGGGATGCAAAGTTTGCTTTAGCTTAAATTCATACCTTCAGCCAACCTGAAATAAAGCTTATCAAACTGAAGTGAATGGTCACACAATATTTCCCCTTTTTTGTCCTAAATTAACTTGTCATTAAAATCTGTGCAGATTCCTTGTGTAGTGAAGGCTCTCTTGAGCCAAATGCTTTTCAGCAGTGAAAGAATTTGGGAGGTGCAATTAGTATTATTACTAACTTGATGCCTAGTTGAAAGTTGTTACATGTTTTGACACCTGATTGATGAGTGTGTTCAGCCAGACCCTTCCAGCTTTTTCACATTTTTATTGGAATTGACACACTTTGATGAAAGTTTTACTTGCAGCTGTTTTTCTTTCCAAGGAAAATAATTCTCTTAGAAAACTTCCAGTGGAGTCAAGGTCTGCCCAGTGGTCTGTGCTCCTTATTTTCACCCAGGACCTTGTTTAATCTGGTTTTGCCTGTTCTTTGTGTTGTTTTTTTGCAACTACAGAAAAATTGGCTGACCGTAAACTGAACGTGGCAGAAGTGACACAATCTGAAATTGGTCAGAAACAGAAGTTGCAGACAGTCTTGGAAGCTGTCCATGATCTACTCCGACCCCATGGCTGGACAATCAAGTGGAATGTTGACTGTAAGGACTCTGTTATGTTTTCTGTCTCAGTTTCACAGGCAAGAAAGGGATGATAACCAATAGATTGATCATATTCCCTGCGATGCACTGTGATTTTAAAATTATTTCTTTATTTGTGTAGAGGGTATTACCACACCCATGTATAGATAATGATTGTTACCATTTCTGTTGTCTTTGTTTCATAGAGGGTATTACCACACCCATGTATTGTTACCATTTCTGTTGTCTTTGTTTAACCACGGATGTACATGGCTGTAGGATAACTGAAGTAGCCCGTTCCTTTAAGGACATGCTTCTATTTAGAAAGTTGTTGGTTGCTTTTTGAATTTGAAGCCCTACAGGTAGAAGAAATGTGTTAGTTGTTCAAATATTAGAGGGTGATCTGATCCTTCAGGTCACCACAGTGAGAGTAAAAGGATCCTGTATCTTGCTGGAGGATGCAGCTTCTGACAGGCTAAGCAGAAAGTATCTGCTGTTCAAGCATGGCCTGCTACAATCCAAAAGTGAGAATGGATTTTGACAAGTCCTTTTACCTAGGAGGTGGGTGGGTTTCACCTCTTACAGACAGGAAAGCTTGTGTTAACCCTTTGAAGTCTGCTAAAAGCAGTTTTCTCCAGTATTCTCCAGTACAGTGAAAAGCAAGTGATTGAGTCTGCCTGTCTTCATTGACCAAAGAGGGAGCTGAAAGGTTTGGACCTATAATTTAGGCATATAGCTTAAAGGAAGGGTTGAATCTAGGCTTTGCTACCTGTAAAATTATATTGTCAGGCTTACTAATTTAGGAAAAAGAGGAAGAAGGATAAAAAGAAAAAAGACTATGTTCACTAAATGCATTTTTCACTGCATTTTTTTTAGAGCTGTTTGTTTAAAATAAGGCCTGAGTATTCTTTTATTTGCTTCATTTTCCATGTTCCCTGCAGCAATCCATGGCAAGAATCTGATTTCCATTCTTCACCTTTTGGTAGCTTTGGCAATGCATTTTCGGGCTCCCATTCGACTGCCTGAACATGTGTCTGTACAGGTGGTAGTTGTACGGGTGAGTATGACCTCCTGTGAGAAACTGATAGAACAGTCATCGCTTATCACTCTGATTTTGCAGTACTGGGCTGATCCCATCCATCCCCTTTGGCCCCTTGTCATTTAGAAAATTCATGTCCCATTTGTTTAGTGAGTCGTAATCCTGGCAATGCGTTTTTGTGTTGCACGTGCACATTGTTTGTGCTCAGATGTGATCCTGATGACAGCACATCTTTCATGTATTTGGGACAACCATTTGCTAGTGCAATAACAAGCTAAAAACAGGCAGTGGGGTTGTGTATCAGAGAGCACCGTGCCTGTAATTTCTCTCACTTCAGTAAATTTTTTTTGGCCATGCATTTTTTGTAGAGAAGTCATTGAAACACAAACAGCACAGAAAGGAGTTTCAGCAAGTAGAATCTCCCTAGTCTGGGAAGCCTGTTACTGATGTTGTTTTTCCCCAATGACTTAATGTGCTGACTTAGACATGCTGTTTTCCTTGGCATGCTAATAGACTTTCATCATTTCTTTCACAGTCTTGTGTTTTTGTTAGCTTTCCTTAGATATGCAGAAGAGATCTGACCTAAGGAACCCTGACTTCTTCCCTCCTGCCCTAGCTATTGCTCTGGTTGTTCCTTTTTCTGCTTGATGTCAGTCCTTTCCTTTCCCTCTGCAAAGACTTTACTTTCAGAGCATACACACTCTTGCTTTTTATCTCACCTTCTATCCCAGCTGAAGCTCCTGTGGCAGTACAGTCTGTAGGGTGTGAACTCAGCTTTTCTCAGCAGCTGTTGAAACCCCAGGCAGACCTGTTCCAGCTGGCACTCTGGTCGTGCTGTGCCTGTTTGCTGTGGTGCTCAGTGCTGTGGTTGCAAGGCAGGCTCAGTTGCTGGCAGGAGGCTGTGCAAGTGCCATTTACTGTTAGAGCTGTCAGGCTGCAGTAGGTTTCATTTCAAGAATGAAGAAGATAAAGTGATCTCAGACTCTGTTTTGCAAATATGAATCCCCTTACAAGATGCATTTTGCAGGGTGGTTGATTAGGCAAGCCTCATTTTGTTTTCCATGTAAATAATGCCATTTTCCAGGCTGCCTGCCTGAATGCTCTAAAGGTACAGGGTGGGATGTAAATGAGAAATTGATGGATACTCCCTGGCTCGCAATAAATGTATTTATTATCTTTAAGAGGTGATTTTGAACTGCTTTCAGGCTGCTTTCTTGTTCTTTCATGTTAAGAACGGTGAGTTGGTTATAAAGTAACATGAATATATAGGAGACTAATTTATCTTTAAAATTGTTTTGACTGTCTTGGAAAGATAAGGAGGAACATGTGAATATAAGCTGGTTGACAGTTCCCTCACACCCTGATCTTAGAAATCTCCTTCTGCCTGTACAGTGAAGTGTCTTCTGTAACTGCTATGTCAGAAAAAAATTCTTAGGTAGAGAGGTCAGGCCTCCCTTTCCTTGTCCTTAGTTCAGGCTTCAGAATTCTCCACTTCTGTAGCAGAGGGAAGGCTGTGGAGGTGTTTTCACAACTTTTCCTGTTGGAGTGATATAGGGGAGACATCTACTGAGAGCATCTGGTTCACCAGTCCTTGCATCTTGAGACTAGGGAAGGCTTAGGTGAAGACAGGATGAGATAAAGGCTGACAGAAACTAAGGAATGAAAGAAAGAGCAACACCTGTGTCCCCAGGGGAGTGCCTGAAGGGGTCAGAGCAGCAGTACAATGAGAGTTAATTTAAACCTGAGGGACTAAGCTCTTGCTCTTGGACCTAAAGCCTGGAGTCCTGGAGATGGTTATGGCAACTGCTGGCTGCAAGCCTAGCTCAGCTGGCCCTGTGCAAGAGGAGGCTTGTTTCAGCCCCCTAACCCACTGCTAGGAAAAGCTTGCAACTCTTCAGCTTTGTTTATTTAAATGGGAAGCAAGGCACAGTATAAACTGAAGCATGTTTCTTCTGGAACAGTAACTTTTGCTTGGTATAGTTTTGCTGTGCAGCATCCATAATCTAGTCTAAAAATACATGTTGGTTCAGTATCAAGGATCTCTTTAAATGGATTTTATTTAGCCTTTGTTACACTAAATGACAAACAGAAGGGTAATGAGGTTAATGTTGTTCCTAATCCAAGTAAGAAAACTGTTATTAAGAAGATTATTACTATTAATATCAGTTTATTGTTAAATGATCTGTTATTATATATCCCAGTAATGATTAGGGTTCTGTTGAACTAGATCATAGTTAAGATAAGGTGCCTCCTTTGAGAGGTTTTCATTTAAATGCCTCTTCTTGCTTGAATATGCACTTGAGGGGATCAATAAACAGTTTGATAAGTGATTTCTTTGTAAGCCTTGCAGAACTGACCCTGCAGTAAGAAAACTGTGCAAGATGTGGTGGGAGTATTGTGCAAGAACAAACCCACAAAACTAGTTAAGTCTCATTGTCATGGGTAACTTTGACATTGAGGATTATCATTATCAACTTGGTAATAAGCCATCCTCACTCTGTGCAGATCTGTGCTTCTTGCCCAGAAGGACTGTACTTACACTGTGAGAAGAGAGTCATACAGGTTTAGCAAGTTATTGCTTAGCCAAATCATGTGTTTCTATATCCCATCCCAGAGCAATGCAGAATACCTTATTAGCTTGTGTAAGTGTTGTGGGCTTTTTCTTTGATTTTTACTGTCCTGCTCCATAAAATGAGATAATATTGTGACAGCACTGTGCTACGTGGGAAGTATTTCTCCAAGTCTCCACAGATTGGTGATGATTCTGCCCTTCCATTGAATTCTTCCCTTCCTTTAGCATCTTGAGGTGACAGACTGAGAATTTTCTGAGGTGCTGTATTTATTCTTTTTGAAATTATAAATGGTTGTTGTCTTTTGCACTTAGTTTTCCCCATCCTCATTTTTTAAATTGCAGCATGTCCCACTTTGGTGCTGCTGGGAGATCTGAGGTATTTTTACAATAATTCCCTTTTGGTCTGAGTTGCAGACAGAAAGGTCAGAGGCAAGGCAGGATGAAGAATAAATGTGTCTAGTGCCAGTGGTGCAAAGAATCAACGTTTTATCAGAGAATGACATTTGCTTTTGGATTGCAAGGCCAAGGGACCTAGGCTTGCTGTGCGAGCAGCATGACCAGCTGCCTCGGAGGGGGCCATGCAGAAATGCTGCCTTTTCCACCAGATAGGGAGTCAGTGTTGGCATCCATTCCTCTTTCTGATCAGGCATTTGGAGCTGTTATTCACTAGTCACCTCTTACTGAGTTTTTGTTCACTGGTTCTAGCATTTTCTCCCTGGGGTATGTGGTGCCTGGAAGGTGCAGAAACTAGTGTTAATAAAGCAGAGTCGTGGTGGGATGGGATAAAGACAACATTGTTTTGTATGCAAGAAAATATTGCCCTGTCAGATGCTTCATCATTTTTTCCATCCATGCTGTCATCCTGGCTTGTTTCACCAAACCTTCTGGCGCCGTTCCCATGGCTCCCTCAGGGGAGCAGGATGAGATATGTGCATGATAGGGAAGTGAGGAGCTGTGAATACATGGCCAGCTGGCAGCATCCAGCCCAGAGCCCAGTCAGGACAGAGCTGTAACAGCACAGTGATGGGAGACCACAGCTCTCTCCATGCTTCCAGCCAGGCTCTCTGGGTGGTGGCTGGAGAAACCAGCTCTGCCTTCATTTTTTGGGCAGGGAGTGGAAGGGCAGGAGTTCTTCTTACTGGTTTTTAAATTTCAATTTTTATTTCTTAGATTGCTTCTGGGGAAGGATGTTTCTCTTCAAAGCTGTTTTCCCTAATAAGTTTTTGCTTGGGGTTCAGCTGATGAAAATGATGGAGATGGTATATGTGTATGGAGCTTGTGCCTGTGGGGTTTGGTTTTCCTGCTTTTCTGAGTGAGCAGCTTTATTAAGCCTGCTGTAAGTCATTCTGACAGACCTGGTTCCTAGATGGCTGCTGAGATTTGAGCTCTTTGAGTCAGCTTTTTAAGCACAGAGAAGGGAGGAAAGAAATTCCTCCATTCAGGCACAAGGCTATATCCCATAGTTTTGGAAGGAACCCATAGAGATGTTAAGCAAGTTTTTGACTGGGGTAAAAGCACTTCCAGTCTCTAAGCTGTTTTGAAGCTGAGTCTCACTGCATGCTAGCTCTCTGTTGGGTAGGAGACGCCTTATTCATGCAGAAAATTATCCCAAGGAGAGAAAATCCAGTATCAGGGAAATGCTATTTGTTGCGAAATCACTAGTTGAGCTTTTTGTGCTCCCTTGTGTTTCCTTGGTGGATGTGTTCTATCAGGTGTGTGGCTGGTGGCCTCAGTAACATGCCTGCTGCAGGAGAGCTGCCCTCATGTGCAGAGAGCTTTGCCAGCACACCAGAGACATGGCCTGGGGACAGCCATCCATGCTGTTTCAGCCCCAGACCTCTCTGGAGAGTCAGGCTGCTAGTTGTGTCAAATCATCGGTTGACATCGTGACATGAGCAACTGCACTTAGGGAATCTGAGACAGGGCTGACAAACTCTCTCTAATTTGTGTTCCAGGCATGATGCTGACTTTGGTCTCAGGAGGAGAATTGTTAGTGAGTTAGTTGGCTGGAAATATTGGCGTATATATACATTTCTCAAATATCCATTTGGCTGTCAGCCTGATAAATGCCACTGTCCTGGGAGTGAGTCCTCCTATGTCAGCTGTTCCACCTCTACCTCTGCAAAACTTGGTGAACATGCTTTATCCAGTTTTCTCCTCTGGCACTCTGAAAGATGCTGAATGCTGCAGAGCCTCTAATGAGCTTCTTTACTAATGCCATCTCAGTTTCAAACTCCATCTCCCTTTCCAGAAACGTGAAGGCCTCCTTCAGACCACTCATGTTTCAGAGGAGCTGACGACTACAACAGAGTAAGCACAAAATGCTTTAGCTTTAGAGTGTGTCAGTGGTGCATGATGTGAGACCATTTATAAAAATGAAAGAGAAACTTATTCTTGCCCCCATCCTTTCTAAATTAACAAAATCCCTTAATGAGGTGCTTTTTTAACTATATAGAAATGATTTGGTCTCTGGAAATAAGTTACAAAGGAGAAACGTCCTCTGGAATTTCTTATGTCACAGAAGCCTTTAACTCAAAGTGACCTTTTGAGAGCTTTTTTCCCCCCTGTGTCCTGGAGGTAGTTATATATAACTAATTTCTGCCCAGTGCTGTTTCCTCTCTCAACTGAAGGGCTAATGTAGATATTTTGGGGAAGAACTAGTTTGACAAAAGGCAATTCTTTGATATACCTCTCAAAACTGAAGTGATACCCTGTTGAAACTCTAAGGAGAGAAGGTCTCTGTTTTCAGAGTACCTCAGGACTAGAGCTCAGCAAAAATAAATTAAATAAATAAACATCTTCCCTCTCCAGCTTTTGCACCAGATTACTTTGCTCTATGTTTCTACAGTCCTTTTTATAAGGAGAAGGCTAGACATGCATTTTGGCTGCAAATAAAAGCTGAGATTTTCCTTCACGTGGCCTGAAGGCAACTCTTCTAAGAGGGGCTTACATGAGCCCTCCCTCAGTTTATCAGTGTATTGGCTCCCTGTAGAGTTGGCTCAGCTTCCCATGGCTTTGAAGATAAATGAAGTACCATGTAGCTAGCTCAGTGGGGAAGATCTTTCAGATGGAAACGCTCAAAAATGAGATCATAACATCTCTGTGTGGACATTAAAGATCTCATAGTGGTTTTTGTAGGATCAGAGCTCTGACTCAGGTTTGTGGGCCAAAATTCCTCCCCTCACTCCTGTGCTCTTGAACAGTGCAGTTAGCTTGTCCTCTGCTTCAGATGTGGTTTGTAAGATGTAATCTGTGGAGAGGGGCTTAGACATTTTTTAGCAAGATGTTTACAGATTTGCATGTGTGTTTATACATATATTTTATGAAGCTATTTAATATTACACAATATTAAGAGGTTTACTGTTTAATGTGTTGCATACCCAGATACAAGTGTAGCTACAGAAAATGCAGTGATCAGCAGAATCCAGAATTCACTGAATACTTTCACATTCCTCTGCAAATCAGGGCCTGATTCTCAGCTGATAAACATCTGCATATGTCTGGTGATGTCACTAGCTATGTTTATATTTCACATGTGGCAGATTTTTTTACACAATATCCACATATGATGTATGTTCTCTTTTTTCAGAGAAAACAGGTTAAAGTAAGATAGATAGCTTTGCCTCTTCTAAGCTGTGTGGTTTAGCATCTGATGACTATATTTGTGGAAACTGCACACAGAATTATATTTATTTATTCACTCTTCATCATGAAAATTGTTATGGATCAATAATCATAATTATGTGTAAAACGTAATTGCACATTTCCATTAATTTCAAATGTGTCTCCCTGACATCACTGCTGGTCTGCTGGAGACATTCCTGCAGCACATTGGGTCCAGTCTGTGGCATGCTTAGCCTGCTGACTTTGTAGGAGTGGTTGGCCCTTGGCATCTTGCAGGAAAAGGCTAGTTAAGCTTATTGTCTTGTCTTTTCAAAATGATTGTTCATGAACTAACCTAACATTTTTGAATGCTCTGACTTGCAGGATGATGATGGGAAGATTTGGTAAGTAACAAAGTTGGCTCTGAAATTTTTTTTGTTTGTGTCAGGCACAGAATTCTTGTCTGTTTTCTTTCAGCAGTTCAAGGCTGTGTTGAGCAATTCCATGGGGTTGGAATGTATTGTGGGGCAGGTTTTGTTACTACACACAGATGTGGAGCATAATAGGTAGAACCAGATCATCCAGTATAATTCTTTGTGCTCTTTACATCAGTCTTGGTTGTTTTGTTTAATTTATAAGTAATGAATATTAGCCCCTCACAAGAAAGGCATTGAGGGGCTGGAGCATGTCCAGAAAATACAACAGAGCTGGTGAAGGGTCTGGAGCACAAGTCTGATGAGGAGAGGCTGAGGGAACTGGGGATGTTTAGCCTGGAGAAAAGGAGGCTCAGGAGTGACCTTATCACTCTCTACAACTCCCTGAAAGGAGGTTGTGGTGAGGTGAGGGTTAGTCCCCCAGGTCCCAAGTGACAGAACAAGAGGTCCAGTTGTGCCTGGGGAGGTTTAGACAGGGTATTAAGAAAACTGTCCTCACAGAAAGTGTGCTCAAGCCCTGGAACAAGCTGCCCAGGGAAGTGGTGGAATCACTGCCCCTGAAGGTATTTAACAAAATGTTCAGATGTGGCACTTGGGGTTGTGGTTTAGGGATGGATTTGGCATTGCTGCATTGGACTCAATGATCTTAGAGGTCTTTTCCAACCTAAATGATTTTATCATTCTAGAGCTAAAATGCTGCACAGGGCAATGTTTCCCAACACTGTTATCAGTGGTTTTCCAGTAAAAATCTTTGCCATCCCCAGCAATAAGTTACACCTTCTTCACATTATGACCATTTAATTTATATATAAATGAATACACAAAAATTACTAAAGCAAAGGTGTATGGTACAAGGTCCAAGAGCTCTGTGTATCTGTCCAGCTCTCTTAATTCCTTTCCATGAAGTATCTTACCTCCTCCATGTTCTCTAGACTTTGCAGTTTAGAGCTTTCTAGCAACAGGGCAGGTCTAATAAACAAAAAATAATTTCTTTGGTGTTGCTACCAAGAGACTTTTTGTGTTTCATTTTGTTAGTGGCATTAAGTCACTTCTCACTGAAGAGATGTGAGTTCCTGTAAAGGACTGTGTGTGATGAAAAATAAGTAATTTATTTTCTCTCTTCCCCCTTAATAATGACTGAACACTACCATTTCCCTTCCTGCAAAGTATCTACATTAATTCTTATTAAATAATACTTATTAATAAGGTACTTGGAAAATAAGTAATGTCAGGGAACTATAGGGGCTAAAGAACACATTTGGAGATACCAAAAAAATTTGGATAATAATTATGTTTGTTTATTTAATAGTAGAAAACTATTAAAATGTGTTCTGTAAATTAGAAGAATTTGCTCATGGAAAAGCTGTTAAAAACTATGTTGAAAGCATAGATTGGATTAGATATTGTTATACACTGCTTTGAAGGTCTAAACATACTTGAAGTCTTCATACTGTATATAAACTTTGCTCTTCATGCACTGCTGAATCAGTATTTGCTTGAGTTCAGTTTTAAGCTTTACTGGAGTCAGGGGTAGTATTGGTAATTTTAAATGAACCAAATGAGTATCTGATTTGATGCTGAGTGCTGGATACAACCATAGCTATTGCTTAAGTTAGGATTGGAGCATAGTCAAAATTTGTGTTTCATTTTAATTTTTCTTTCACCTACATATTTTGTGTACCAATTATGAATGGCAGAAAAGGGAAATCAAGGAATGATATGTTTATTTTCAGTTACCTCTAAAATTCCCAGGGTAGTTTGCTCTGGCATTTAGCTAGACAATGAAGTAGAGTGCTAACTTTTAGCTTGGGTCTCTGTTATGGGGCTTTCTGAGAAAAACCTTTAGGCTTTGGGCACATAACCTGTTTCCTATACTTGGCTGTTGGAAGTGTATTGATTTTCCCTTTTTTTCCCTAAAACCAGAGCGCGATGCCTTTGACACACTTTTCGATCATGCACCAGACAAACTCAGCGTAGTCAAAAAGGTAAAAATAAAACTGTTGTTTTATTTCCCACATTGCTTTTTATTCTTATGCTTCTGAAAGGATATTCAGATACATCCAGCAAATAACAGAAGAGGATTCCAAAGGGGTGAAAAGAGTGTTTATCTCCAAAGATCCCTGTTTCAAAGCCAGGTGGTATTTTGCACAGTACCCTGAAATTTGGTTCATCCAGAAACAGGTTTGCTAAATGTAAAGCTTTTACAAGAGTTGCTTTTGTCCCAGGGCTCTTGTACTTAACTCTAATTCACATGGTCCCCTGGTCTGAGCATCATCTCACAGCACACCCATCCAGACTTATTTTTGACATGGCTCTTTGTGTTAGACGGAGCAGAGAGGAAATGTAGCTGTTAATCTCTGACAACTCTTGTTAGTTTTAGGTAACACATAAGGAAGAGACTCCATGTTGTTCTATCAGATATTTCCAGCATGGCTCTTAAGCCATTTATTAGAACAATACTATGCAAAGATCAGGGTTGTAAGTGTCCCTTGTGTTTGTATGAAATAGAGGATGTGTGCATTTAAAATAATGCTTTGAAGTCTCTGGAAGATTTTATCTTTCCAGTCTGAAATGTCTTCTAGAAGAATGTTTGTGAAGTTGATAGAGAATTAAGTTAACTATTGCCATACAATCAAAGTGTTAACACCCAACTTTGTCTCCCTTTTGGAAGTGGGGTGGGTGGGGTGGCAGATATCTGTGCTTCAATAAATTAGCACTTATCTGGCTTGTAGTAGCAAGATCTTGCATCTGGAATAGAAATCCTAGACTTAGGTTACATGCTGACTGTATTTTGCTAGTTGATGTGCACACATCCCTCCAGGAACAGAGGTGTGTGCAGGATAGTGTGCTGTTGGCATCTTCTCGGGGGAGTTCTTAGCTCAGCACTGCTGATGCCTTGCTCCCAGTCAGTGGATCTTCTCCAAGAACCTGGAAAGATTAGTGTGTACAGTAAATGCACCTACTGCTTCATCTCCAAGCACCGATGTCATCACAGCTTTTTCCAACGACACTAAAGTATGCTTGGTGTGCATACTTAGGAAAACTTAGTTAGCTGTATGTAACAGCACCATCTGGTGAGTTCTGCCATACGGTGCAACAAAAATGACTTTGGCTGACTTGTTTTGAGTTTTGTGTACTTATTTGTGCAAAAGCAGACAGCACCCATGCATATTTATTATGCTTTAAAAAAATGTCACAAAAGGTTTTGTTAACCCTTTCACATAGGCACTGAGTGTAGAGTGTAACATTACTGGTTTTGGTGTTTTCTTTTATAGTCTCTGATCACCTTTGTGAACAAACACTTGAATAAACTGAATTTGGAAGTAACAGAGCTAGAAACCCAGGTAGGAGACTTTGTCTTTTTGTATGTAATATGTGTAAATTGCAAACCTAGGCCCTCGGTCCCTAAAACCTAGTTATGGAACTGTTTATCTTTGGGCACATTAATGTATGGGATCAGGGCTCTGGTTTTTGAGTAGCAGTGACATTTGTTCATTTGCTTCCTTTACTTATATTTACATATACTTCATATTGCTGTTGACTTGTATGATAAGGTGAAATTCTTGGATACTAGTATTCCTGACTGTAGAAGGTGGCTGGGTTTCAGGGCAGCTCGTCTCGGATCAAAGTGGAGTGCTGCAGAGCAGTTGCTATAGTTATGGGTGGATGGTGGGTTGTGTCTTTTCTAGCTGTGAGGGTTCATGATGAACTGGTAGAAGCTCTTAATAGCTGCCTGGGGCTCTCAGGAGGAGGGTGGGCTGCAGTGTGCAGTTCATCATAGAGATATCAGTGCTAGCTTTGACTGCATCAAAGCAGGACTGGAAACTATTTTGCCATTGCAGCAAAGGCCTTCCTACCCTCCTCTGTACCCTGCTATCTTGTGAGCACAGGCTTCTCAGCAGTGTGAGTTAATGACTTGGAGCTCCCATGCTGTGGTGGTTTGGCTGCCCACTGGTATCCAGAGTAGTTTGTTTAAAGCTAGTGGAGGTGGCTGTCAACCACCACTGCCTGCTCTGTGGAGTCCTCTGTCTTTAGTGCAGAACTGGGTACTGAATATACTTGGAAACCTTAAGTGAGTGTGAATTTCAGTATCAGTGGGGTAGTTCTCACTTTGAAGATAAAATTAAACAATTTTTCAGGCATGGGCTTGGCTAAGCAGAAGCAGATCTTCTTTCCAGAGTTCACTGAACTGTGGAGAGATGGTTATCTTATTGTCTCCAAAAACAAGCACAGCACCTAGAGAATTATCCCAGGAACATGGGTAATTGGTTTGTGCCTGGCTCAGTTTAATACCAGTCATTCATTCACTGATATTTTATAGCTTTGCTGACACAAATGGGTGACTGGATCTGATCTATCACAAGAAATTGTTGCTTAATGCCTTAGAGGTACCCAAGAATTTATTTTTTGAAAGGTTAGGGGATGTCACATATGCCATATCAGGATCACAAGTGAGAAGTCTATTAGAAATATATTGTATTACCCCCCTTAGCCAGTAAGTAGCTATCCTGTCTGCTAGGAACACTGAACAGTATTGCTGAAAACATGTGGTATGTTATTTAGTATTTACTAAAACTGTAACCAATTATTTTGATTTGGGGAAAAATTCTTTTGTGAAGTTAAGCTTCTTACCTGTGACAGGGGAGACTTAATTTGATGTTCTGATTAAGGGCAGAGATTTGAATGTCCAACACACATGATTTAAGAAGGATGGTGGTTGAAATGACCAGTAGTAGGAGGAGGAGGACTGGGAGTACCAGTGCTGTAGTAGTAGGACTCAGAGTTTATAATGTGCAGACATGTTTCCCAGGAAGTCTTTTGCTTTTAATCAAATAATTTTTTCTAAATAGTGTAGTGAAGTTGGCAGCATTCCTCAAGCAAACAAAATTAACATGAGGAAAGCAAGAACAAGCAGACAGAGGTACTCTAACCTCACCCCAGAGTATTCAGTAGCCTAGTGAACAGGTAACTCACTGAAGACAAAGATGTTTTTTTCAGTCCCTGCCTATTCAGACCAAATACTTTGCACAACTAAGGAATACAAATTGTAGATCACTCCCAGGTGAATTGCTTTTAATTTCTTCTGCTTAGAGCTATTTACTGTATGTAAGTAATTAAAATAGTTATTGGCACATGATCTTGCAAGAGTTAATGCTATAGCAATTGCTGATGGGCTTCCTTGTTTTGCTCAGGAAATGAGAGTAAGGGAAATAATGCTACCAGATGTAGGGAGAAAGCCTTGTATCCTGTGTTTTCCTTCTCTTTAGAGAACAGACAAGAGAGCAGCTTTATCAACAGGCTTTTAAGAAAAGACTGATTTAGCTTGCTCAGCTGCACTGGTGATTGCACCCTGAACAGGTGAATCCAGGGAGCAGATGAAACAAAGCCCTAAATGCTTGCTGCACTTCTTGTTGATTCTCTGCTATGACAGAAAGCAGCACTCTGTGACTCCTGAACCATCTTACACTTCTGTGCTAGCAAAAAACAGGGGTAGAAATCAAAAAGCATAATTTGGGCCAAGCATTCTTTGTTCTCCTTGTGTATGAATGCTTATAAACAGATCCTTTCTCCTAGGAATGTCATCAGTATTTCTCTTCAGTTTGCAGATGGTGTTTACTTGGTTTTGCTCATGGGTCTCCTTGAGGACTATTTTGTTCCACTTCACAACTTCTACTTAACACCTGAAAGTTTTGATCAAAAGGTGAGTAGAAATTCCAGGTTATAGTCTTCTTGAATTGTTATCACATGTTATTTTCCAATCATTGTGTATATCAGAACCTGGTATATTCTCTTCAGGGGCTGTAGCAAAGAGGCACTGGCTGTGATACTTGATAGTTAAGACCACTAGAAGTTGCTTGTGAAATAAATGGGTGAATACCCATAGTTAAGGATGAAAGATACTCTGTTACTAGCATCGAGAAACACATAATGCTCATGAATATCCAGAATGAATAAATTGCTAATGAGTGTTTTGTACTGTGTAGTACTTTGCATAATCAAAGGTATTTTTTAGATTATAGTACTGCTTGAAGTGTTCTTGTGCTTAGGGGTGTCATCTTGTGCTAGACAGCAGAGCTGATGCCTGGCCTTGCCTGTATGTACTGTATAAATAGGCAAGAAAGACAAAAAGTGAGAGATGGGAAGCTCAGCTTTAGCTGCATCCTGTGCACTGGGATTGACATGGAGACAGAGCTTCTTCCCAAGGTCACAGGATGTCATCCCTAAAAACTGCCCCCACATCTCATTAGGATCCATTGCCTAATACCTCTTCTTTTCCTGTAGTTTATTGAATGTTCCTACAAACATTGATCTGGGGCTAGAAACTCTCTGTTGAGTGCTCACAGGTAACATGTTTTGAAGCTGATCTGAAGCCAAGAATGCCCTGATGCTGCCAGGGAGGGAGCATGCAAAAAATTGCCTGGCTGAAGTCAATTTGTGAGCACAGACATCTGGTTCTGTGTCCAGTTCCTGGCAGGATCATTGCCAAGTTGCTGATTTTAGCTTTTGAGAGAATGTGCTAATTTTCCAGTTTTGGGTATCTTTCTGTTGGTAAGGAGTGAATGACTTGCTGCCTAACAGTGTCTCACACAGAATGAGCTTTTGAGGAGAGGATTCTTTGCAGTCTTAGATTGTCTTACTCATAGTCAGGATATTAGAGATGGAAGGAGATGAAATAAGTGTCTTGCTCTCAGCCCCATGCTTGCTCTATTGCCCTGTGTCCTTCCTAGCATTAAGGATGAGAAAGGTGCTTAGTGCATGTTTTCGTGTCACAACCAGAAGTTTGCCTCTGGCTGCAGTTGTTCCTGGACAGGCATTTACAATTTTGTTATTAATGGTTTAAATTCATAAAGATTTTCCAGTATTCCTGAAGTTATGTTGTGGTTTTGTGTGGAGCTTCTGCCTTGAGGAATGGGGATTTGTAAAGCAAAGGAGAGGTAGGCTCTGTTTTTTTGGGAAAGAAGAAAATATTTTCACATTGGGTTTTGTCACAATGAATGAGGAGGGTAGGTAAAAAGAGATTAATAATGTCCAGAGCGATAAGCAGGAGTGAAGGTGGCCTTCTTTGTTGAGAGGGAGCTCTGTATGCATAACTCCCTGATTTTCAAGATGAGTAGCTGTAACTAAATCTCTCCTCCCTTTCTGTATCTCCAGAACTGTCATTCGCAGTAACAAAACTGCACAGAATTCATAATGCAAATTACCTTGCTTAAATTTCAGTAAGCATGGACCAGAAAGCTGCTGTGCAGATCTCTTTAAATCAAATGTTCATTCCTCAAGGGGGAGATTAAAAGAAGACACCTGCTTTCTTTCATTTTTCCTTTTTTGTCCATTTTCTTTCCTCTGACTTTATGCTCATGTGTGATCCTTGGTGGCTTGTTCAGAAAGCTCTTTCTGTACAGTTGTGCCTACCTTGTTTTGCAAGTTCACTGCACAGCCTGTCTAGGAACTGCCACCAACAAGAATTCTATAAAGCATTTACTTCATTAGAAAAACTGAATTTGATTTTTGCCTCTGTTTTCAAGTAGAGGAAGTTAAAGCACCACCATGAGACTAAGGGATTAGCACAAAGTCATGCTGCAAGCAGCCTGGATCCTTAATGGTGTGATGTTGATGTTGCTTGATATGCAGCTGATAATAATGCAGAAATAATGTTGTTTGAAAATAATTCCACGTGGTGTCCTTATTTCATCTTTTTTACTCACCCGTATGTGTTTCTCATCTCTGTTCAGTTATGCTATTTCTGTTACATTCCTTGTTGCCTGGATGGTGAGTGGTATCTTGCCTTGTAGTTGGAAATGTTGATCTTGGGTACAGGCAGGAGGAACTGAACAAAATGCAGCTCTGTTGTAATTGTTAGTGGGATCTCTTTGGCCTCTGCCCTAGAGACTGAGATTGAGGCTTAATGGGGTTTCTTAGTTCATGTGGTACCTAGGCACATTTTTACACTTGAATGATTGGAAATCTTAAATTACTTTTTTTACATATCAAAAAAATGAATATTTGCCCTATTATGATGCAAACTTTCATTTCTTAGTCCCTCCTATGTACTTTCTGCCATGCTTAAACATGTAAATGTTTAATATTGAGTGGAATAGAATTCTAACTCTTTATGCCAAGTATAGAGAGAATGAAGCATTTTTAAAACTGATTAAGTTTTTAACGCCAATATAACTGAGATTCTAAACACTTTACCTCTTTCAGGTCCATAATGTTTCCTTTGCTTTTGAGCTGATGCAGGATGGAGGACTGAAGAAGCCAAAAGCTCGCCCTGAAGGTATGGACATGCCATGTGTTTTTCAACTCTATATAGAGACACAGTGACAGGTGCATTTCAAGTGCAGCTCCATTCGAAGACAGGAGCAGTAGTACCCCAAAGTGAAGGTGTAAATGCACCCCTTGACAGTTTCACAAAGGATTCATTGTCTGTCTGAGGTATATCCTTACCTGTGTTTCTTGTCTGGAATAGATTCACTGAGGTGTCCCAGTCTAGCTCTAGTGAATCATTCAAGAGCTGTTCAGTGCTCTATTATAAATTCAGCTGGTGTTCTCAATAACAATTCAAGCAGAAAGCTTTTCATGGTCTAATTCTCATAATTCTTAGAGCTAGTGCTAGTTTGGGCTCCTGTGATCAGATTTCAATGACAGATAACTCAAAGGCTTTGATTGTGTTTTTTTTAAAAGAACCTATATCTATCTTCTTGAATTGTCTTGAACTATCTTCTTGATTTATGTAGACTTGAGAGTCAGAGCTGAGAAGTGTAAAAACCGAGTTTTCCCTTTAAAGTCTCTGAACCTTGAAATTAATTAATGATGAGGTCTGCATTGTTGCTTGCACTAGGAATAAAAAGAGGAATTAAAACTTTATGACTGCTAAATGAGCAAATTTTATCCCTGGTGTTACAAACTATGTATGTGTTAGAAGCTTCCGCAGAACAAAGAAAATTGAGGAGCCCTCAAGAAATGTTTAGTCTGACTTAAAATGAGACCAAGTGGTGATAGTAAATAGATTAACAAATAGTGGAGCTGGTTACAGTGGGAGGAAAAGGCAGAAGACAATAGTAAATGCATATATATCCTGTCAGTGCTCTTGTTTTAAATTTGGGGGTTAAAAGTGCTCAAGAAGAATGTGGTAAAACAAGAAACTAACTTCGGAAAGTAAAGGAGTGTTCTGAGTACTGGAGTTGAGTCAGTGGGTATAGGAGGAGGACAAAGAAGCTGGAGAAATATGAATACACAGTCAGGAATGGCAGTTTGTTGAGTGGAAAGGCTAAGGAGATTGCAGTAGAAATCTAGCTGGTAAGCTAGATAAGCTTGTTTTGAGAGAGAGAAAATGTTAAAAACCTAAGAAAAGACTCATTGAAATCTTGTCCTTTTTTGTTTGTTTTGTTTGTTTTCATCACTTAATCTGACAGCAGAAGTTACCTTCCCATAACACTATCTTACATCCTTACAGTATCATGAATGGTAGAACACTATAACAGATCTTTTGTTTGCTCTGGACAAGGTGTGTAGATTCAATAAGCAGCAGAATATGTTTGAGTGTTTTACTGATTGAAAATTTAATTATTAATAGGTATTAGTGAGCTAATTAGCTCATAGAACATTCCTTTTTTGCTGCTGCAGGATGTACAATCTCCTGTGAGTTTTCCTTCCTCTGCTGTGTGTGTACCCATTCCCAGCAGCAGTAGTTCACAGCTGTTGGAGTGTGCTCGAGTGGTGACTGTGTGTCTGGAGCTGCCTGTAAAACTGACTGTTGCTCTTGAAAAACTGCTCCTGTGGAGAGGACAGTAACATCATGGGTTCAGCATCATCTAATCCTATGTAAGATCTGGACAGTCAGTACTGTCATGTAATATGTCAGTACTATCATGTAACGTGTTTCATAGAACAGTAATTAATTTTGGCCGAGATATTGATGCTCTACAAAATCTTTTGTGTATGGTATGTTCTGTTAATGCCATACTGATGTATTGTTTGTTCCTCAATAGGATGGAAAACCTGTCAGGTGAATCCATGTCCTTTAGCATGAATTGGGTAGTAAATGCCTCTTGAATTAGAATTATAGGATTGTTAAGGTTGGAAAAGACCTCTAAGATATGGAGTCCAACCATTAACCCAGCACCATCACGTTCACCACTAAATCATGTCCCCAAGTTCCACGTCTACATGTCTTTTAAGTACCTCCAGGGATGGTGGCTCAACCACTTCCCTGGGCAGCCTGTGTCAGTGATGATTTTTTGTCAGTTGTTCCTTACTTCTGCTTCCATAGATATTGTTTACTGTGTATTTTTTGCTTCCTCCTTCTTTCCTACGTATTATACTCAACCTTCATTTCTACCTTTTCAGCCTTCTCTGTGCTGTGCCCCCCCCCTAGTCCCTGGGTTATGTCTGTGGTATTTCTTGGTATTTTATTATAGCAACTGGTCAGGAGGTGCTAACAAAAAAGCTTTTTTTGTTGAGAACTGTTCCAGACCTGTTCTCTGGCATAGTATGGTAAGAAGGGATATTAAATAATACAAAGCTTTGAGTCTGCTGAGAATTCAGGCTTTGTTTATTCATGGACTGTTTCATTGCAGAGCTGTGGATGTGTGAGATTCAGTACCTCATGAGGTGTGTGACTACTTGTTCACTGCTTCTGTGGCCAGGGAATTCACTGGTAGTGTTTCCCAAAGCCTTTACCCCAAGTCTCTGACAGAAGTAGACTTTCTCTGTAACCAATTTTAGATGAGGAAGGGACTTACCTTTCTTCTATTTCCCAGAGAAGTTAGCTGTGACTGTATGATCATGAAGCTGTTTTGAAGCACATCATGGGACATTTAGAAGGCTTGACTTGGGGAGATCAGAACTCTGTGGGGGGTTTTATTGCTGATTCCACCAGCTCAGAGATGTGAGGACTTTTGTTCCTTTTAGGACAAATGAGGGAAAACAAAATGCAAATTAAGCATTTCTCCTTTTCTTCCACAGATGTTGTCAACTTGGATCTGAAGTCTACACTCAGGGTTCTGTACAACCTGTTCACAAAGTACAAGAATGTTGAATGATCCTGGAAGCTGCTGAGGTCTCTTCATCCTTCAACCTCCTGAGGCAGAAATTGCAATAAACGCCCTCTGCACGCTCCGTTGTGCCTTATGCTATACTTCATGCATTCTTTCTACACTTACTGTGGTCTGTCTGTAGCTGTTTGTAGGACAATCCCACTAAAAATAATGCATGTGTATTCTCTAGGTCACTTGAAAATGTGTAGATATTTCATACTTTTACCAGAAGATACTGTTGGATCTATTTTTTGTTATAGTCAACAAATGTTCTTTCGATAAAGGAGATATACCACTAACTACTTTAATAAGCAGGGAAAACATGAGACCTTCCTCATGACTGGAGACTCTTTGATTCTTCGGTAGACTTTCTTTTGCATACTCCTTGGTTGCAACTGGCATTTGATAATTTTTCAGACTAAGTTTTAGCAATAGAAAATCAGCATTGGAATTTATATAGAAGCAGAGCCTTTTCTGTTAAATAAGGTTTTGTATGTTCTGTTGGATGGGTTGAGCTGAGGGGAATTACAGGCACTACCTGAAGCTCATGGCAAAAGCTTCAGTTTTTGTGTTCACCTCATTCTACTCAGTGTTATTTCCATTCAGTGTTTACACAGAATAAGTCTTGCAATGGGATGACCAACTAATCTTTTGATATCTATTTTTCTTTCATCTCTTTCCTAGGAGAAATTTGTTTGCTAGAACCACTTATCCATTAAGCATGCAGCTTCAATCAGGTCAGTCAGGAGCTGGTCAAACAGGCACAGGTTGAATTAGTGCATTTTGCCTCCAGTCCTTTCTGAAATGAACATTGGGAATAATGAGCTTGGCAGTTTAAAGTGTGATTCTTCATTTCAGTTAGCTGAGTTAAAGGGTCAGATTCATTCCTGTTAGACTTGTTGGCAGCTCTGTGGTTCTGGGGGTCAGGCTTTTATAAACAGAGCCTTACATATTTTCCTTCCAAAAGAGCAGAACTGAATTCCTGTATAAATAAGATCTTGTTTGTATTTACATGTTGCACTGGGCTGTGCAAGGCATATGATATACAAAGTGGAAGCCAGTGGTTAGCACTCAAATGGGAAACTCTTTGGTGATCAGTTATGCTTCAAACTAATTGCATCGAGTTGCCCTGTGCCATCCCAAGAAATCCTCTGCTAGTAGTGTTCTGGCCTAGTCCTGCGGTCTTTTAAGCTGTTATGGTGGGAATCTGTCTTAAAAATGGATTGCTAGATTTATTCTCTGGCCTAGTCCTGTGGTCTTTTAAGTTGTTATGGTGGAAATTTGTCTTAAAAATGGATTGCTAGATTTATCCAGTAGACTAGTTGCCTCATGGAACTTCACAGGTCTCATCTGCAGTGCTGTTCCTGGCAGGTGATGTGCTGTGTGCAGGGTACAGGGAGGCTGTGCTGGAACATGAGCCATCTGAGTGGATTGTCAAGGAGAGCTTTGTGAAGGAAATGGAATTGTCATTTCCAGAGTGAATGATTTGTGGAGTATGCATATAATATCACTCTTTTCCTTGGAGCACATAGGGGAGAGATTTGATTACTGCTTTTATGTATCACAGCAGCAACTTTTCTTCTATGGTCAGCCATGCTTTTGGGTGAAACATTAGGCAGAGTGCCCCAAAGAAGAGCAGGTAGTATTCCTCTGCTCCATGGGCTCATTTGAGTCCTTGTTGTAAGTAGGCATC